AAAATTTTGTCCCAAAATTATTGTCCAATTTGACTTTTTATGGATCAAGTTACACATTTGTCCTTATTAAAAAACATTATCCATAAAATCTTAGTGGTTAAACAATTACTTATGTAGGGGTATATCCGGTTGTTTAAGGTAAAATATAGTTAAACTTGACCAAAAATAAAATCTTTCATATTAGTAAAACTGGACAATAATTATGAGACGGAAGGAGTATATGTTTACAAATCTATCCAAATAAAAGAGGTTTAAAAATTTTATCTTTTAAATAATTTACTCCAACCAAAAAGTTTTTTGTTATATTCATTTGAAACTATAAGTTTTAGATATTATTATATGACACCACAAACTTAAATAGTACTTCACTACTTCTATCATTTTATTGTTAGGTTTCGTTAAAATATTAATGGTCAACTCTTTGCAATTGAGATGCACATGAATTGACCGAAGGGTACAATGTGTTCATTAAAAGTTCAAATATTTATAAAGTCAAAAACAAATCAATTAATCACGTGATACGAAAGACTCAAGTCAAATTTTTACGTGCGTTTTACATGCATTTTGCATGCAAAAGGATTGATTGTTAGTTTTTGCATGAAACACGTATGGAAAAGTGAATGAAGGCACTATTTATATTTTTGATATCATATAGTAACACCTGAAAATTTTAGCTTTGAATAAATATATCAAGCAAATTTTTTTGGTACTTTTATATCAGTTTATTGTATATATATATATATATATATATATATATAGAAAATTTTATGGGCTAGTCATTACTTTTTAATTGAACCATTCAGTTAAAAAGGAATACGGCTTTACACTTTAAAACAGCTCCTGCAACATCTTTTCTTCAGCTTTAGTCTGCCCTTTGATACAATGCAACACCCTGCATCTCAATTCAACTTTGATCAATTGCATTATATCCTCTGGTTTTCTAGTGTGGTCTTCAAAATACCTCATGTTTCTCTCCTCCCATACGTGATAGACACATGCAGCAATAGCAGCCCACAGGAGCTTTCATTTTAACTTGCATCCTTTCCACATTGACAACACTTGTGTTTTCCATCTGTTCATGTCATTAGCAATTTTCCTACATCCTAACCACATCACTATCTGATCCTTCAATTGCTTAGCATAGTAGCATTGGAAGAACAAATGCTCAACAGATTCTAGTGCTTGAGTACAGAGCAGACACCTGACATCAGCAACATTAAATTTCATAGAGATTAGCTTGTCCCTGGTAAGCAGCCTTCCCTTCCAAGTCAGCCAAGTTACGAATGCATGTTTCGGGACATTCATTCTTGACCAAATGGACAGAGTCTCCTTCACCTTAGCTCCACTGCCGGTCAGCCAATCATAACCTGATTTTATCGTATATCTACCACTTTTAGTTGCTAACCATCTATGGCCATCAAAGCCAGCTTTCTCTAGATCTCTCACCTTTAACAGTTGCTTCCAGTTCCAGCTAGCATCATTTTTAGCTTGCACTTCCCATAGCGACGAAGAATCCTTGATATAAGCTCCATGTATCCACCTAATCCACAATGCATCTTTCTAGACAGCTAGATGCCAAACATGTTTGAGAATGGCTGCACAGTTCTAGATTTTCGCATCTCGTAACCCTAAACCACCCTCCGCCTTCTTCTTACACACTTCCTCCCAACTCACCAAATGCACTACTCTGTTGTTTTCATTAGAACCCCACATATAGTCTCTACATATACGGTTAACCATATTTGTTATGGTTTGCGGCAGGACAAACATGGAACCCCAATATGTGTGCATCGACATCAAAACTGAGTTTACAAGAACCAGCTTGCCAGCGTATGAAAGGTGTCTAGAACTCCAGCATTTAATTCTGGCAACTATCTTAGTTATAATCTCCTAACATTCAACCTGATTCCACTTTTGAGGAGTTAAGGATACACCTAAGTACTTCATCGAGAAAGAACCCATAGGAAAAGCAACAATTTCACAGATTTTGGCCTGTAACCCTTGACTAATACCCCCAAAGTATACAGCTGATTTCTGTGCATTGGCTTCTAACCCAGTGGTAAGCTTAAACTCATTAAACACCCCTATGATCTTCTTGACTGTATCAATATCTGCTTTATAGAAGATCATTAGATCGTCTGTAAAGCAAATATTGGTCAGTTTAAGCTCTTTGATGAAATTTAAACCCTTTTTCAGCAACCTTCTTTAAGCTTCTTGACAAGTATTTCATAACTAACACAAAGAGTAATGGAGAAACAGGGTCCCCCTATCTAAGCCCTGATCTCCCAGGGAAATATCCAACCGAACTGCCATTCACTAACAGCGAATACGATGGAGTCGAATTGGGAAAGTTAGCAATTTTGGCCCTCATAAGTAGCAATTGATGTAGTAATGAATTCATTATTATAATGAGAAAAATAAAAATTGATTAGATGCATAAATTAGAAGAAAGTGGGACAGATAGAAGGACAAATAAAAAGAAAAAAAATAGAGAGAAAAAAATTAATACTAAAATGTTGAATGTTTAAATTACATAATTAACCTTTTACACACGTGAGAGAGGCTACTACTAAAGTTTCACGTGTGAGAAGGGAAAAACTCCCTTTTTATATATATGTTGATGATGGTTAAGTCTTTTAAATTTATGTAATTCTGACGCCCTCCATCATTACAAAGTAAACTACTAACAATCTAAAGGTTAAAAACGCGAGGGGGGCAAAAAATGCATCAGTCACAACAAGTACTTAGGACAGATGTTTTTTCTTTAAAAAAAAAACATATTTCTACAAAAGAGAGCCCCAAAAAACAAATGTTTTTTTTAATACTTAAGACAGAATTTATGAAATTTGTATCAAAATATTTTTCTTTTTCTATATTCCATAACACTTTTTCGATAAAAGTTATATTCTCCACTTAAAATTTCCACCTCATAAAATTTTTCTTCGCATTCCCACACAGCAAGTATGTACACTAGTATTTTTTATTGTCTAAATCGGAAGGGAACAAGAAAAAGGAAAATATAGGGGGTAAGCCTTTAGCCAAAATGTCAACTTCAATTCAATGCCATAGATCCGTTTATAGTGTGTCATCTCAGGTGGGATTTGCCTTTAACCTTAACCAAAATGCCTGAGGGGCTGCATTTGCCTTTTTCACTGTGTAAATATAATTCCGGTTTCCGAAATTATATCCCAATTAATTTTGATCGACGGACAAATATTTTGTTTTCATATTTTTTTTGATGTAAACATTTCTTTACTTGAAATTTTTTAATACTTTTTGCATTCTTTTATGCACTTTTTTAAATAACTATAAACTCAAACGGAATAAAAAATGCAGCCATTATCCCATCTAGATCTTCATTTTTTTTTATATATATATAGGTAAACAAAGGGGCATATTTTTATGTTTCCTCGCGGATCAATTAAATTTTACCGATAAATTTGATTGACAAGATGGGAGAAATTCCCTCATAGCCAATGCTAAAGTAGCCATGCCCATACTTAAGAGCAATTAAAGAAAACTTCTAATAATTATATTTTATTTCATCTGGATTTTTTAACTTTATATGAAATAGAAATAAACAAATCACAAAAACACGCATAACAAATTTATTGTTCACACCTCAATAGGTTAATGCAAATTAGAATTGATTTCAAAATATCCTCTAGAAAACGATTTATTATTTTCAACCGATAAAATGACAAAAGATATTATGTGACACTTTTGTATTACATTCTCTGTGACACTGATTAAAATTTTAGACACATATTAATAACTTGTTAAACAAGGTTCCGTTACTATTTATTAGGGCATTAATAATTTATTATATAAACACGTGTCACATAAAATGTCACAGAAGACCCTATACCCAAAACTAACATAGTATCATGTTATAATTCCTATTTGTCACTTTTATTAATTTCATTTATTTGTTAAGAAAATTGTAAGTTGCATTCTCCGAGATGGCGTCATTCAAATGATATGTTTAGAAATACAAATTTTAATATCTTTATAATATAATTTTTTTTTTTTTGAGATATTCTTAGTGTAGTTGCTGCCAAACGTTTGATTATGGAACTCATGTGATCTCTCCAACTTTTGTTCTCTTTCCCACTTAAGCAATTCTGCTAAACTTAGTTAAAGACAAAGGTTAAGGTCGGGAAAGAGTTGGAGAAATGATAACATAAGAAGATATATGCCTTTTCTTTTTTTTCCCCATCTCAAATTCTCAATTTCATTTTCTTTTTCTTTTTTTTTTTCATATGAATGATGAAATGATCTTTAACAGACAAAACACTAGATTAATTTAATTTCAAAGGTTTTAAATAATTATTTAAATAACTGAGATCAGTTTGAGTTCATATTATAATTAAACAGAACTAATACTTTTATTACTTATAGACCTGAGTGTCTGGAATTCAATTTCCAAAAATTTTAAATATAACTTTTTACTATATGCTTTTTTTTTTTTTTTGGTTAACACTATAGACTATTTGAAGATAAGAAGATGACTTTTTTCACTTTATTGTCTATGGAGTTTATGCTTTTCCCAACATGATTTTCTTATATTGTGTAATCTATCATGCTTCATACTTATCTATCTGGAAACTCCTAATATGATCATCATAGTCGTCATCAATACACGCTCAAACCCATCACCAGAAAGTAGAAAAGTACTTTCTCTTATCCTTTAAAATATTTCGATTTCTTCTAGATTTTATTTAATATGTATTGTTAATCTAAAAGAAATTATGAAAAATATATTTTCATATTTGTTGCGGTCTTTTGATTTGTTACGAAATATTTTTAAAATTTTCTGTTAATTAAAAATACGTATTAAGTGAAATATGAAATATAAGACAAATCAAAATGCTTCTATTACGGATAGGAGGGATTATGTAAATGGATTATTAGTTTAAAATTAAAACCAAATAAAAATAAAATTGTCCCACGAAACTTGATGACGCCTGTTGCTGCCTGTATTGTCTCTGAGATTCTCAGTTTAGTTGGTTTTTGGGCCCAAGAGATTAAAAAAATGGGTAAAAATGCCAAAGACAGGAAATACAGTTCTCTTTTACTCACTTGTCTCTGTTGTCAAAAACACCTTTTTCGAAAACAAGCAAAAAAACTGCAGCAAGATTTCACAGATAGATAGAAAGAAAAGATTCTTGAGTTCTGGTTGTACTCCAGAACTGATCCTTAGCTTCTTCTTTAGGCTCTTAGCTCATGTATTACTGTATTATGGTTTTTCATGACTCTTTAATCTCTCTGTATTCAAACTCTAGCTGAGCTTTTTTAATGGAGCATAGCACTTACTTCAACAGCATCTAGTCTCTCCCTTTTGTCCAGTTGTGTAGCTTCTGCAGTCTCTAAATGGTTCCCTAATGTCCTCTGGGTTCATCTCCTTCAATCCCATTTCTTGATTTCTTCTGACTTCTCAGAAAATTTGAATCTTTTCTGATAAAATTTTAGCTGGTTACTGAATCTAGAGGCTCTGCTGCAACTCGTTTTAGCTCATCTTCCCTTTTGGACTGACTTTGAATTTCTTTATTGTGGTAGTACTTCCATTTCAATCACCATTTCAGTCATGTTGTTTTGAGCCTAATCAATATGTTGAGAATTTAAAATCCCTCCCTTTTTTCAGTTTGGTAGTTAAATATTTATAGTTATTCAGATCAGTAGTTGGGGCATAGTTAAAACCAACCTTGTCATTATTTAACCCACTTTCTCCATCTGGGCATATCCCATTAGTTGCCAAGATTTGATCTTTTTACTTTAGTTGGTCTTTCTTCAAGGATCCTCTTCCAACTGAGCTGCTAATAGCTTTTGCAGTTTGCCAGTCAAACACTCCTTTTTTAGTCCACTACACAAAAGAGCAGTCTTTGAACAGAGAACAAAAATGGGGTCTCTGTCAAAGGCTTCTGTGGTGTTGCTCTCGCTAGTTTCGTTGATTTCGCTGGCCCTTTTGGCCAATGGGATAGGTGCTAACTGGGGAACACAGTGTTCTCACAGGCTGCCTCCTGAAGTAGTTGTGAGGATGCTAAGAGCCAATGGAATACAGAAGGTGAAGCTTTTTGATGCAGAGTATGACACGCTGAAAGCTTTGGGCAAGTCTGGAATTGAGGTGATGGTTGGCATTCCTAATGACATGCTTTCAACTATTGCTGGTAGTATGAAGGCTGCTGATAGATGGGTTTCGCAAAATGTCTCCACTCATCTTAACAACAACAATGTTAACATCAGGTAAACATGAACATGTTCCTGCTATTTGTGTTGTCTCTGATTTTAGTATGGCTTGTTGACTCTCTTTTGCGATAGCAATTACTGGGCTGTTTACTGCAGTGCTTACTCTTCCATGCTAGGCCAATTGCCATTCTCAAGCCTGACTTGTTCTACACTTAAATTAAAGGCTAGAATTAAATGCTCCTAGTGTCAATTTTGTAGTACAGTCTGAAAATCTCTCGATAGGCTGGTTAGGCGTTTTAAAGCTGAACTAGCAGCCTCTTTACTTTGAGAACTCCAATGCTAAGAAACTCATTTTGACTGGGGTGCCAAAGTTCTCGTGTAGAGGTGTGGTAGATTTTGTTTCCAATGTTTATTCTAATTTTCTGCAATTCGTCATTGCTTTGAATCTTGTAAGCTGCAACAATTTTTTGTTTAGTATTATTTGCTCCCTGCAATGTATCAGGTTTCTAGAATTTTCAGTAATACTTTTTGCTTACTATGATCTGTTTAGACTTTGAATGTGTTTTTATGTTGGAATGGTTAATGATGGGATATTTAATTACCTATTGGATGTCTTAAATCTTATGGTTCAATTCAAATACTTGTGTGCAGACATAGTACATTTTATTACCTTATCATCAACCGAATGGTATCATGTCCTGCCCTGGAACTGTTATAGAATATTATAGCATATCCTCTGGTAGGGTGTCCCGATTGGTATATTATCATTAGTTTTGGGGCTTTCTAATGTGCTTGGGTTTTTTTTTCTTTATCTCAATGAGCTGTTGGATTGATTGATACCTGCAGGCTACCTATTTTCAAATTTTTTAGCATAGTCTATTTGATTTTCCTGAACCCCTTGCGCGTTTAATAGCGTGAGTTGTTACCATACTTTACTATGAGCTTCAATTTCTTTTTTCTCTCTTCCCTCCTAAACCAATTAAGTGTTGATGAAGACAGCTTAGGAGCTGGCTGACCCTTTTGAGGCATTGTAATGCTAACTTAGTCAAAACCAATACTGTGAGAATAGATATATGAAGTTTGTGGACAGGAATATAAAGTTTATAGTGATTCAGAGAGGTTGAAAGCAAGTTTTTGTGTAGCTTCACAACTATGTTTTAAGACAGAATCGACAATACCAAAAAATACCCGAAATGCCTGGACAAATGCAATCAAGCTCTTTAGGGTAGTTTTGGCGTTTCTTGCTTTGTAATAAAGATAGCACAATATTAAGCTTTGAAAACATCATAGAACTAGTACAGGCTTTTACCCTCTCTCCTTTCAATGGCCACCTTTATCCTTTGCAGAACAAATTAGAGTAGGGCTCATCTCTGGTTTAAAAGAATTCAAAAGAAGGGGGATGAGACGGGCCAGTACTTTACTTTATATAAGTTCCCTCCATTTTATCTTTGCTGTAACCATTGACACGAAAGCAAAGTCGGTTGCACATTGGAAGAGATTTGGCATGCAAACAACTCCTGTCAATCAGAATCCTTTCTCGGCAGATGAAACTATCACTTCTTTAGTTTCCTAGTCATACAAATGTTTTGGAAACTAATCGGTAATCCAAATAATTGTAACAAGATATAGAAGAATGTTCTTACTTCTCTTTCGGTTCGTATTGCTGTGGCTCTGTTTCAGAGGATTGGTCATATGCTATATTGGGTTTGAACTTACATATTCTTCACTTGATTTTTGTTTTTTGATAAGCACCCTTGGTTCTTATCAATTTAAACTCTCTGTGGCTGACTGGCAGTTATGGGCTTTTGCTTTTGGCATTGCCCAATGAAATAGGCTCATAAATATTTTTTCCTCCATTTTGGAAGTCATTAAAAAAATGATAAAAATTCCTGAGGCTGAAGCGTATGCATTAAGTAGACAACCTTCGGTACTGTATGCTATATCAGTGTGGAGAACATAAATTCATTATAACAAATGACATCAGTGTTACATCATTAACTCACTTATTAAGGTTCTCAAGGTCTTATTTTTTATTCTGAACATCAAGGATGAGCTTAATTTCTTCTGGTTAAGTTGAGGCTTTTGTCTATTGAATCTTTATGCGTGGAAGGCCTCTGTTTAGATACGATTTACCAACAGTAAGAGAAACTTTACTTCTCTTCACTTGCTTGTGCAACATGTGTTTCCACATGATGCTGTTGCATTGTTTTCTGAAATTAACTAAGTAACATAAAGACAATTTCATCTGAATTTCATTCTGGGGAACAGAGTCAGGGAATTGCAATGCATGCAACATAAGATCCCAGTGCCTGTTTTCTTTCTAAATATTTTAGTCCATTCTAAAAACCTTCAAGGCAGAAACTAGTATGCTAATTAATTGCAAGTTCTTGGTATCTTGACCAGGTCCAAAACCTAAAAATGGACCTGAGCTGATATCAAAATAGTTGGATGCAGGGAAGCATGCACTGCATCGGAAAACCAATATTTTTCTCACTATGAAAATTGTCTAAATATTCTGCTTTAATTTCCATGCATTTTTACGTGCATGCCTTCCATTGATTTCCTTATTAATTATTATGCCTGATTCCTTTATCGGTTGCAGAACAGATTTTATTTCTTTATTCTTTTTTTATTGATTCCTTTATCGGTTGCAGAACAGATTTTATTTCTTTATTCTTTTTTTTTTAATTTCGGATTGTTCGATGTCGCATGTGATGCCTTCTTGTTCTGTACTTTTCACACGTAGTGATAATTTATTTTAGGTACGTTGCAGTTGGAAACGAACCTTTTCTGGCAACATATAATGGAACATTTCTTAAAACAACTTTTCCGGCTCTACAAAATATCCAAGCTGCCCTGATAAAAGCAGGAGTTGCTAATCAAGTAAAGGTCACAGTTCCCCTGAATGCTGATGTATATGGAAGTAGCAACAGCTTGCCTTCTGGTGGTGATTTTCGAGCAGACATTCATGATTATGTAATTCAGATAGTCAAGTTATTGAGTGAAAATGGCGCCCCCTTTACTATCAACATTTATCCATTCATCAGCCTTTACATCGACTCAAACTTCCCAGTTGAATATGCATTTTTTGATGGAAATTCATCGCCTTTGAATGATGGTGGAACTAGTTACTACAACATGTTTGATGCAAATCATGACACTCTTGTTTGGGCTTTACAGAAGAATGGGTTTGCAAATCTCCCTATAATAGTTGGAGAAATTGGCTGGCCTACTGATGGAGATCGGAATGCTAATATAGATTATGCCCGACGATTCAACCAGGGTTTCATGACTCATATAGCAGGTGGAAAAGGGACCCCAATGAGGCCTGGACCCATAGATGCCTATCTTTTTAGTTTGATCGATGAAGATGCCAAGAGTATTCAGCCTGGGGCCTTTGAGCGTCACTGGGGTGTATTTTACTTTGATGGCACACCAAAATACAATCTAAACCTTGGAACTACAAATTCAGGTTTAGTGCCTGCAACCGGGGTACAGAAATTGGAACAGAAATGGTGCATATTCAAGCCAAATGCGAAGCTCGATGATCCCCAGGTAGCGCCTACTGTGAGCTATGCTTGTGCTCTCGGGGATTGTACAAGTCTTGGGTATGGATCGTCCTGTGGAAATCTGGATGCTCAAGGGAACATTTCATATGCATACAACAACTATTACCAGATAAACAATCAGCATGATAGTGCCTGCAAGTTCTCAGGCCTTGCAACAGTCACAAGATCAGATCCATCAACAGGAACATGCAGGTTCAACATCCAGATTCAGCCATATTATGGTGGTGCTGCAAAGAGGCTTATCTCCATTCAAAAAGGCCTTTGTTTGATTCTTTGCGTATTCATCGTTCTGTGGACAAATCAGTGAGCTCTAGGGTAGATGTTGACACTGGTGGAAGGATAAGCATTTTGGCATTCTAAATGCAGACGTTCACATTTATCAGAAGTTGCCTTCTGTACAATACACATTATTTTTGGTTTTTTGCTTTCTTTTGGCTGATCAAACATTCTTCAGTTGAGGCGTTGCTAGTAACTGAAGTTTGGAGTTGAAACCACCCTGATCTGTTTTTGCAGTTAGTCGGGAAGAGGTCTTGCTTAGTGAGGGTAGGCAAGAAGACTTTTGCATCTTTTACTTTGATATGGATACCTTGCTACTGCATTTATCTCAGTGCTTGTATTTCCTCCCAGTTCTGGCTAAGATTTTGTTTTGTGTATCTTGTTTTACTGTAGCTCTAGATTGTAGCTTCTTAAGGTAGTTTTTTAAATTCGAAATGACTGTAAGTTCGTTCTCATCATGAGCTGCTATTTCAGATCATGAAATGAACATTTGCTGTTTCTTCCTAATCAAGATCACAGTCTTACTGATTTCGTTTCACTTTGTAAAGTCGGCTATGAATCACGTGTCGCTATTGTGTTATGTTAGAACATGATATCTCCCGACTTTGGGAACTTAGGAGAAAAACAGAATGAACACAAGCAAAGGAAAATGAGAATTTCATTTTGCAACACATTGGTTTATCCATGAGAATTGCACAACTCTCTAAAAGACAAAAAGTTTGTGAATTGTGACTGTGATCCAATATTCTTTCATTACACACAAGCAAGAGTCTTGTTGTAGCTATAAATCCGCTGTTCACACGTCCTCATGCGTAGAGACACATTTTTCAGTTACCATGAAAATAGTAACTTCAAACGTCACTCCAATTATAAGTTTTCTAGGGATTCAGATAACTTGAGAGCATTTTTTTCTGAATGTTGAGGAAAACCTCAAAGATCCAACCTGATGGCTAGGAGAAGAGCGACTAGAGAGTACCTTTCACCTGAAATTGTTAACCGGGGTGTCGAGGATTCCGGGCCGTACACAGGTTCTCCTAGTTTTGTAGTGAAGGTTAAGAGGGGTTTGCCTGATTTTCTGAGTTCTGTGAACTTGAAATATGTGAAGCAGGGTTATGGCTATCTGATACACCATGGCATTTATTTTGTTGCTGCTTCTGTTCTTTTGGGCACTTTTGGCACCCAAATATGGCAGCTCACTTGGCAAATTTCACAACTGGATTTCACTAACTTACTGAATATCAGTGCTTTGTTGGGATTCTTGTGCTTAATTCTGTATATTTATCTTGATTTGATCCCCCCTTCTACTTATCTGCTTGATTTTGCCTGTTACTGTCCACCAAGTGAGTTAAAGGTAAGCTACAATCTTCTTTGAGTTATTTCCCTCTGTTACTATCAATTTCAGCTCTTTTGATTCCAAAAAGTATCCTCTCTAAAACTGGACTAGAATAATTGGTAATGATGGCAGATTTCGAAGGAGGAATACATTGAGTTGGCGAAAAACTCAGGGAAGTTCAATGATGCAGCAATAAAGTTTCAGCAACATGTGCTCAAGAATTCAGGTTTGGGAGATGAGACTTATCTTCCGAGAATACTCTTCCAACCGGATCGCGCAATAACATTGAAAGACGGAAGGGAAGAAGCGGCAATGCTGATGTTTGGTGCAGTGGATGATCTGTTCTCTACCACAAGCATCTGTCCTAAGGACATCAGGATCCTTGTAGTCAACTGTGGGGTTCTAAATCCCACCCCATCTCTGTCAGCCATGATAATCAATCATTACAAGCTAAGTTACAAGATTCAAAGCTTCAACCTTGGCGGAATGGGCTGTGCTGCTGGAATCACGGCTGTGGATCTCGCGAAAGACCTCTTGAACGCGTACCCTGGCTCGTATGCATTGGTTGTTAGTCTTGAAGCAATGACCTTCACTTGGTATGCAGGGAAAGAACTTGACATGCTTCTGCCCAACTGCTTCTTCAGGATGGGATCTGCTGCCATTTTGCTCTCAAATCATCGCACTGATAGATGGCGCGCGAAGTATGAACTAAAACAGGTAACAAAATCAAAATCCTTTCTTGACAATGTGTCCAACAATGCTGTGAATATGCCATTGCTTTTCGATAAACTGATCATGGGACAAAAATCGTGAAAATGTTGCAGTTGGTTCGAACTCACAAAGGATTGGACAACAGAAGTTTCAAAACCATACATCTCAGGGAGGATGCAGAAGGTCATAAAGGTCTCTCAGTGAATAAGGATGTCATAGAACTTGGAGGTCATGCCCTGAAGGCCAACATCACAACTCTTAGCCCTTTAGTCCTTCCTGTTTCGGAACAAATCCATTTCTTCACATCTTTGTTGTTTGGTAAGAAATCAAAGCCTTACATACCCGACTACAAGCGAGCTTTCGAGCACGTATGCATAATGGCCACAAGCAAAAAAGTCCTGGATGAAATAGAGAAGAACTTAGACCTCACTGATGAGTACATGGAAGCATCAAGAAAGACACTGGAGAGATTTGGGAACACCTCCAGTAGCAGTGTTTGGTATGAACTGGCTTATTTGGAAGCAAACAAGAAGATCAAAAGGGGAGATAGAGTTTGGCAGATTGCTTTTGGTTCAGGCCTCAAATGCAACAGTGCTGTTTGGAAGTCCCTTAGAAATATCAAACAACATCCTAGGAATCCATGGAACAGTGTTGGGAATTGATTACAATCATTGTTGTCAGAAATTCAGATTTCTTAAAAATAAGATTGCCCTTTTTTAGAATTTGGATGGTGGATATTGTAAAATCAAGCGATCAAATAGATATTGATTCTTGTTTTTTTAAAAAATGAAACAAAAAACGACCAAGAAAAAATGGACAATAAAGAGCAAGAATTGTCCCTTTTTTTTTTTTTTTTGCAAAGTTTTTTGTTACAAAAAAACGTCCTTATTACTAAAACAGAAAAAATTTGGACTGACTTGTGAGTTGCAGGTGAACTCACTCTCATCAAACTCCAGGGAGTTAAAGGAGGCCATCTTTAAAGCCGAAATTAAGCGTTAATATTTTTCATAGCAATTTGTTGTTTTGTTTGTTTATTACCATCCCATCGACATGTAATGCAAATTTCTCCCACTGATTTGTCGTTCCTAATAGCACTAGGAGAACAAAATTTGATTCGTACTCCATCTTGTTTTCACCATTTAAAAATCCCATGGAATGACATATCATTAAATCTTTTTGATATATATATATATACTGATTAGTTCGCTCTCATGTCACAAGGTTTACCAAATTGATTTGTAACTTACAATATTTCATACTTTCAGTAGTTGGAGTGATATTGTATAAATTTTAACACGGTGGGTTTATCTTTTTCTTAATGGCATTAGAAATACGATATTTTACTCGTATCTCCTATTTGTCATTTTGGAAAACCACAAATCAACCATGCGAGGGTTTTTGTTTGGGAAAATTTTAGTTAAGGGCATCCTAAAGATGAAAATTATTATGAAGGGCACAGCTTTATTTATTCTTTTTCATTATTATTAAAAGGATAATGATTCGTGCAGAGAAAAAATGACAAAAAATTGATCATAACCATTCATTTTTTACATTTTTTATTTGAGGTTTAAACATTTAAGGTTAGGACATAATTTAGATGATTGATAATTTATTCCTTGTAAGTTTTTCTTGTAAATTTTCCCTGTACGTATCATTATTCTTATTAAAAAAACTTCATCCAAAGACGATATTACCCTTCTCCTCTCATACGTCCCTCTTTCATCCATGAATTCTTGCATCAATTTACTGCGACTCAAAAAGATGATTGCTTTTATCTGACTTTGCAAAATTGACACGAAATGCATACAAAATGAATATCAAGTCATGAAAATCTAATCATGGCGTCTTCTATTTCGTACTCTAATTCACACATCAAATTCCCAATTTCTTTGTCCCATCTTTAGCTTAAGATTAAATAAAAGATAGACATTATGCTCTTTAGTCGATCTCTGCATCGCCAGCCTTCAATCCGCCAAATAATTATCATCTCATCTACCTTTGGCTTTCTAATCGCTCCTATAACATTTCAGGGCATGTTAACGCATAAAAGAAAAAGAAGAAAAAAAAATAGAATATCAATTAATTTAATTTGTTGTTGGTGCATAAAAAGATGACTTTAATTTAGCATTGCTTTGCTGCAATGTAGGAGAAATTTTTTTTTTTTTTTTTGGTTTGGAAGAGCAATTACGATAGAGGATTGGATTAGGTTAAGTGAATAAAAGGGCAACACAGTGATTTGTTAGATGCAAAATTACTTTATTATTCATGATTAAAGGCCCATACCCTGTATAATAATTATGATTTTTTGGATGCCCTTTATGATGATTTTCCCTTTTTGTTTTTTGTTTTTAATTTTTTCTGGTGCTATAATTCGATTAGTTTGCTTATATAAACAAGGTTATAAAATATGATTTGTTATTCCCATTAACTACTAATACATGGTTTACAAGAATTTGATTTGTATCTTCTGTACATGATATCATACTTTTATGCACGTATCATTGTGAATATATTATTTCTGTAACAATCATATATTTTTATTCATTTTCAAAAAAATTATATTTTTAATTAAAATACTAATACTTATCTCACACATTGCACGAGTGCGGTAAACAAAAAGGGAAAAAAAATCCATAAATTTTAGATAATATTGATAAAGACAACAATGATTGTAAGTAATTTTTAGTTCGAGTTATTGTTGAATACAAACCTCAAAAACACGTCCAAATTTACTTATCATCCCTTTTATATCTATAGTACTTAATTAAAGCAGTAAATAAAAAGAACATGTGTCAGCAATACAATGAAAATTTTCCCGCCAAAAACCATTTTCAGTACAAAATCATTTTTGACAAGTGGCACTCTAACTAATCAGAAAAAAAAGATGAAATAGATAAATACATAAATCCCTTAATTATAGCTACATAAAAACAACAATATTTAATTAATAAAATCAAATGTAAGGAAATCCCCTTAAATCAAGTGAAACACAATAATGTCTTCCCAATCTCCAATTTCAAAGAATCTCTTCCATTTCGCTCCTCGCTCACACCCGGGCCTTTAATTACTTAAAATCTGACATCAATTATCAATCCATTTTTTTCTACAACAGAGAAAAAATAAGCTGTCATGAAAGAAATTTGATTTTTTAAGGATGATATTTTTTTATTCTTCTGTTGTAGATATTAGTTTATGATTTATGTAAACCCGAGTATAAGTTAACTGTTGTAAATTAAATGTTATAAATCTGGGGATAGATTTATGTATAATAACTCACTTTCTGTCCTTTCAATCGATTTTTTATTCTTCTATTTTTTTATTCTTTTAATAATGATTCATATTTTTTATTTAATCGATTTAAAAATACAGGCGCCACCCCGGGCATTCGCCCGGGGCAAGCATCTAGTACCCTATTAAAGCAGAATACAGGATGTTGATGTGGCAACTTCTTATTAAAAATTTTTGGCTCCAAATGCACCATATTGCATTAACCATTCTACCACGTATCATTCCCTTTTAAAAGAAAAAAATTCTTATCCGGAAAAATAAAAGCTACTTTACAAAAATAGCTACACAATTTTAACTCCTAATATTTATTATTTATCAATCAAATTAAAATAGTATTTAAATTTGTCCATAAACTTATCCCCTTTATTACTCCATATTCTTTTGTATGATTTCTGAATCGTTGTACTTTTCAATATTTTTCCTCCTTTGGCAGATGATTTTTTTTTATAATTATTTTTTGCTAAAAAAGGAAAAAAAATTAAATATGTAGCTATTTTATTTTTTCCAAATCAAGAATTCATTTATCTATTAACATAAAATTAAAGCAGAGGAGCGCCCGGACATCTGCCTGGGCCAAGCATCTAGTTAATATTATCATTGATGATTGGCCAACCATTCATTTTGAATTTTTGTCTCATTTTACCTCTTAAAACACATCTCAAACACAAAATTCAATATTACCCAAACAACTTTTCAATTTACTTTTTAAATTTTATTTCAAACATTATTTTTATACTATTTTTTTACACCACCATCAGACCACCTCCACCGCCGCCGGACCGTTCATCGCCGCTGCCGTGCCGGCGCCGGATGACGACCGGCCGGCCGGATTCTAACAACTTGGCCGAAATCCGGTCGGCTAGCGGCGATGGGCGGTCCGACGGCGACGTTGGTGGTGGAGGTGGTCCGATGGTGGTCTAAAAATATTATTATTTTATTTAAAAAATTACTTAAACAACTTTTTAAATTTTTTCTCAAATCACATTTTAAATCACATCTCAAACCCAAATAAAAAACTAAAACAAAAACTAAAACAAAATGTTGGCCAAATAAGCATATATTTCATAACAATTAATTGTATAATTATAATATTTAAAAAAAAAGAAAATGATATGTATAGTGAAAAGAAAATAGTAAAAAAAAGATAGGGAGTGATGTGAAGTATTCTTGGCCTCTTGTTTTTTATCATTTTTCCATTAAAATTTTTAATTTTTCCTGAAAATTATAGATTTACCCTTAATTAATAAGTATATATATTTAGTGAGGATGATATATTTGTCTCTATTCCTTTTCACTATAATTTTTCACTGTTTTATCATTGCTCTTTAAAAAATTGATATATTAATAATGAAAATCTTAACTGGTGATTTATAAAATTATAAAAAGACCTCAGTAATGCGCACAATATCTATGTAGTTGCAAGAATCATCATGAAATCACCCAACTATTTCTAGTGCTCCTTTTGTATTCCTAGTTTTTTTCCTTGAAATTCTAATCTGGATTCAATAGAAAACCATGGTACCATAGGAACCTACGCAAGGGTTTGGAAAAAAAATAAAAAATAAGAGGAAAATAGTGGGCAAAATCAAATTGATCATAACTATCCAATAATATAACTCCCAAATTACGGTTTGAGAATTTTTTTTTTTTTTTTTTTTACAAAGAAGCCTCTTAATTAATATGTAAAAAAAAAATGCATACAGTGAAAGTAACAATGAAAAAGAATTAAACAATCTCATAGAATCTAGATCTCTTTATCTCTATTTTTATATATATTAAAGGAGAGTTTTCATTCGGACACATGACGTAAAGTTAGACATGGTAATCTACATGGTAAAAAATTAGATATCCAAGTTCACTTGTCACATCCACATCACTCCATCATTTTAATGATAATGTTTAACGTAAAATTATAAATTCGTGGATAAAACTAAATTAATTAAGAGAATGGTAAAAAAAGAAAGGTAACTAAAAATAAAATTTAAACTACTAAAAGGAAAAGAAAAAAAAAAACTATGAGTAACACATGTTTCCGCGAACAAGTTGTTGTCCGTGTATCTCTCTCTAAGAGTTTTTCTCTCTCTACAATAGAGAGTACTGCTATTCCCCGTGGGTGGGAGTTTGGTTTCCTCTTTCAATTTTGAAAGTTTTTTAAAAATTCTTCAAAATTTTTCAAACTTTTTTGAAAAATGTTACAAAATCATGGCGGTTTTTGATCCCTTGGTGGAGGTTTTCCTGATGTTTTTGTTTAAAATATTATACAACAGTACATAACTATTCTGATCTAATAAAACTACTAAATAATTAATCCACTGAAGTAAATGAGCCATATCTTGATTCTGGCATCTTTTTCTGTTATTCCTTCTCTTTCTCAGGACTCTTTTGACCAGCTTTTACCTTTGGAAAATCGGGAAGTTTTCTATTCAGATCTGTGATAGTCAAGGGACGAAGGAAATAGAGAGAGAAATTATGGACCGCTTCAAAAAATTCTCTCTCTCAGAAAAGGAAAAGGGGGGTAAGGAGCTGGGGAATCGACATACTCACAAAGAGGTGGAAGAGGGCAATCGGAGTTTGGTCGGTAAGATTTTTGGGGAGAGAAAGATGAATTTCTATGGGGTTAAAAATGCCATGGAGAGGCCTTGGCGTCAAAGAGGATTGATGGGAGTGGAGAAGATCCAGACTAATACCTTTCAGTTCATCTTCACCAGATCTGAAGACAGAGAGGCTATTCTGAGACAGCGACCTTGGTCCTTCGACAGTCACTTCCTGGTGCTGCAAAAATGGGAAGAGGAAATGGATTATGACGCGGAATCTTTTAACTTCACTCCTATTTGGGTGCAGATCTGGAACGTATCCAGGCACTGGGTGTCGCGGAAAACGGGCCTAGAGCTGGGAGAGTTGATTGGTGATGTAAAAGATGCAATAATTCCAGATGTGAGTGGAACGGAGTATAGACACATCAAGGTCTTGGTCGAGATGGATTTGCGCAAACCCCTGGAGAGGGGAACAATGGTCAAATACAAAGGTAAGGAATCATGGGTCGAATTCCGTTATGAAAATTTGCCTTGTTTTTGCCATTATTGTGGGCATATAGGCCATCTTGAAAAGGGTTGTGAGACTAGGGCTTCTGATTTAGAGATGAACAAACTAAAAGAAGGGCAATTTGGCCCTTGGCTGAGAGCGGGGTTTTGGAAAGCAGAACGTAGGGAGGCATCAACAAAAAAGAAGGAGGAAGATGGAGCAAAAGGGGGAGGATTGATGGATGCTATAACTATTAATGGGCAATTTAGTGGTAAACAGGAGGGGATGGGGCTGATTAAAGAGAATAAGGAAGATCAAGCAGCACAAGTTGTTGTAGAAAAAGGGAATGGAGCGGGATAAATAAGATGAGCCAAGAGGAGGAGGGGAGGGTATCAATTGGGAATAAGAGGGTGGTACGTGAGGAAGGAGGGGGATGGGTAGTTGGGGAAGAGGTTAGGGAAGACGAAAATAGAGCAGGGGAGCTATGTGGTAAGGATCCTTTTAAGGATGACATCAAAATTGGTGCAGCTTCGATGGTAAAACTGGATCAAATTAGGACGATCCCGAAGGTGGTATATATGATGATTTGATGCGGCAAGAATCTGAGATAATTAGGGATGTAAGGAGAAGGCCTCTTGATGATGTCACAAATAGAATGGGGAACAAAAGTGACAAGGAAAACGAGATGGGAAGTGGAATAAATAATATGGCAATAGTGTAGATTGATAAGGGTCCAAAAACAGGGAAATGGAAGAAGAGAGCTAGAGGAGGGGTGGAAAACCAGATGATTGAAGGGGAATGTCAAGATGAAGCATTTGTAGATGGGTTGGGTAAAAGAAACAGATTAATGCTGGAGAGAATGACTGAGATGCAACAGGAAGGGAACAAGAAAATAAAGCAGGATAGGGGGGAGAAAACAGAATGGGGCCTAAACCCCAGCAGCAATGTCAAACACCAGGTGATGGAAGCCAGCCTCAAATGGCCCCGAGTTTCCCAATGAGGACAACATTGTGGAACTGTAGGGGGTTGGGAGGACCTTTTACGGTTTCACAATTAAAAGAGTCATGCCGACTCTATAAACCAGAGGTAACTTTTATTTGTGAAATGAAGAAGCAGTCAGATTTTGTTAAAACTGTAGCAAAGAAGTTAGGGTTTAGGGATAGGTTTGTTGCTGTGAATCCAATAGGACGTAGAGGGGGTATGTTCTTGGGCTGGTCAGAAGACGTAATAGTGCATGAGATTAAAACGTCTTCCTTCTGTATTGAATTGTGCTATGAATCTCCTGAGTCAAAAGGGTTGGTTTGGGGTATTTTTGTTTATATTAGTACAGAGTAGGAGGAGAGAGTTCTACAGTGGGAAGATCTAATAAGTAAAAGGGGTTCTTAGGGAGATAGGTGGTTTATGGGGGGTGATTGGAATGCTATTAGAGCAGGGAGAGAAAAAAAGGGTGGGAGAGTGAGAACTGACAGAAGTTGTGCAGGTTTCCAGGACTTTATATTTAGGATGGGGATGGATGAATTACAGTTTGAAGGAAGGGAATGGACATGGGCAAAGAATAGACGAGGGGAGGGTTACATTGAAGAAAGGTTGGATAGGGTTTTTGGGTCGGCTGGTTGGTTGTTGGAATATCCTTTAGCTAGGGTAATTCATGTTAAGAGGCATGCCTCAGACCATTGCCTATTGTTTATGGACTTGAGTCCAGTAGTGCAGAAGAGAAAAGTTCGTTTCTGTTTTGATAGGAGATGGTTAAACAAGGAAGGTATCAAAGAAGCAGTAGAAAAAGCCTGGAACTCTTATTGTGAAGGGTCACCAATGCATAAAGTGGCCGCCAAGATAAAACTGTGTAGGATGGAACTTTTGAAGTGGAGTCGAGGACAAGCCCTGAATTCTGAGAAGGCTATTAGGAGTATTACCCAGGAGATGGATCAAATGAAAAGTCAAGGTGGGGATCGAGATTGGCAGAAGTGGGAGAGTCTGAAACTGAGGTTGGATAAGGCCTATAAGGAGGATGAAATTTACTGGCATCAGAAGAGTAGAAACCAGTGGCTGAAGGAGGGTGACAAAAACACTAAATTTTTCCAAGCGTCAACCATCCAAAGAAGAAAGTTTAATAGAATTGAGAAAATTGAGAAAGTAGGGGGTGGTGTTTGTGAAACAGATGAAGAAGTTGGACAGGAGGCGAAGGAGTTCTATAAGAAGTTGTTTACCTCAGAGAATGGGTTGGGTTGGGAGCAGAAACTAGAAGGAGTACCTTCCACTATCACAGATGGAATGAATTCCACCCTGATACGTTCAATTGAGGAAGCTGAGATCAAGAGTGCTGTTTTTAGCATGAGTCCACACAAAGCCCCCGGGATGGATGGTATGACACCTCTATTCTTTCAATCTTTTTGGCATGTGATTAAATCTGATTTGTGTGATGCAATTCAAAGCTTTTTTAGATCCTCTTGTATGTTAAAAAGTTTTAATCACACACTAATCTCTTTTATTCTAAAAACAGAAAATCCTACGAATATTTCACAGTTTAGACCGATAAGTTTATGTACTGTTGTGTATAAAATAATTTCGAAAATTTTAGCAGAAAGAATGAAACCTCTTCTCCCTTTTTGTATTAGTGAAAACCAATCAGCTTTTCTAGCTGGTAGGCAAATATTGGATAATGTCATAATAGCACATGAATACATTCATTTTCTTAATAATTTAAGAGGAAAGAAACAGGGGTATGTAGCTATAAAATTAGATATGGCAAAGGCGTATGATAGAGTAGAATGGAGGTTCCTAGCTACTATGATGATTAGGATGGGGTTTGACTTACAGTTTGTGGGTTGGGTTTTGCAATGTTTTCAAACCCCTACCTTTTCGTTTAACATAAATGGGGAGGTTAAAGGTTACCTAAAACCATCCAGGGGAATTAGACAAGGGGATCCCCTGTCCCCTTACCTTTTCCTAATCTGCTTTGAAGCTTTTTCATATTTTATAAAATTGGCGGTTCAAGGTGGAGGGCTAAATGGACTTAAAATTAGTGGAAATGGTCCAGAAGTTACTCATTTATTATTTGTTGATGATGCCTTGATTTTTTGTAAAGCTGAGACAGGACAAATACGGTGCCTGAAGCAAGTCATGAAGGATTATGAAGAGTGTTCGGGACAAAAAGTAAACTGGGACAAATCATCTCTGTTCTTTAGCAGGAACACGGAAGCAAGTATAAAGTCCCAGATCTGTGGAGAACTGAATGGTATTGGGGTGGAGATGAAGGCTAAATATCTGGGTTTACCGATTGTGGTGGGAAGGTCAAAAACAGAGGTTTTCAAATATGTGGAGGATGCTGCACTGAAAAGAATCAAAAGCTGGAAAAACAAGCTGCTATCCCCAGCTGGTAAGGAGGTTTTAATAAAGTCTGTGATACAATCGCTTCCGGTCTACACTATGTCCTGTTATAAGTTGACTAGGAATATCTGTCAAAAATTTGATAAGTGTATGGCTGATTTCTGGTGGGGAGATAAAGATGGGAAAAGGAAATTACGCTGGGGGAAGTGGGACAGCTTAGCAAAAGGGAAAGAGGGAGGTGGTTTAGGTTTTAAAGATCTGGATAGTATGAATGAAGCCTTGTTAGCTAAACAAGTGTGGAAATTGTTGACTGAACCTAATTTGTTAATGGCAAGAGTGATGAAGGCAAAGTACTATCCGTATAGTTCTCTCTTCAACGTACAACAGAAGGGGAGTGATTCTTGGCTTTGGAAGGGGTGGCTGAGTGCAAAGGGGGTAATCCAGAGAGGATTGAGATGGAGAGGGGAATGGGGAGAAAATTAGTATATGGAATGATAATTGGATACCAAAGGATTGTATCGCAGGACCTTATAGACCTGATCATAGTTGGAGGAATTTGGAAAAGGTTGCACAACTAATCGATCCAGTTGGTAAAATATGGAGAGTTGAGTTGCTGAAAAGAAATCTTTAGGCCAGAAGAAGTGAGGTTAATACAAAAAATACCTCTCGATTCATGTGGGGGAGGATAAGCTTGTGCGGGGAAGGGAGAGAAATGGGAAGTTCTTCGTTGCATCTGCGTATAATCTGGTGTTGGAAATGAAAGGAGAGAGTGAAGGGAGGGGAGAAGCTAGTGAAGGAAGGGAAAATAATAGGAAACTGTGGGCAAGAACTTGGAATTTGGGGGTAAAGGCAAAAATTAAACACTTCATATGGAAAACGTATAAGGGTTGGCTGCCTGTGAACCAGAATCTGAGAAGGAGGGTATGGAAGTGGATGGGATCTGTAGTACATGTGGGAATGAAGTAGAAGATTTGGAACATGTTTTGTTTCACTGTACTCAGGCCAGAAGGGTATGGCTACTAGCTCCAGTGAGTTGGGAAGGTATGCAACAGAGAACCAACAATTTTGCTGATTGGTGGGAAGGACTGATGGGTGCAACACAGACTGTGGAGTTCATGAGAAGGGTGGAATGCACTGTTTATATATTATGGCATTTGTGGAAATCTCGGAATGCATGGCAATTTGGGCAAGAAAGAACAGATGCATGGTCTCTGGTGAAACGAGCAGAAGAGGAATGGCAAGAGTATGAATTGATACAACATCAGATGTATCATGCAGCTAGGAGTTCCCAGCATCAAGATCATAACCAATGCTGGTCAAATCCTCCAGAAGGCTACGTCAGAATAAACGTTAGTGCAGAGATGGCGTGAGGAAACTGCAGGGCTGGTGTAGGTTATTATGCTCGAAAGGAAAATGGTGAACTTTTGGTAGTTGTGGCAGACTCAGTTGATTTTGTGCAGAACTACCTGGCAGCAGAACTAATAGCCATCAGAATGGCTATGATGGAAGCTCAGAGAAGAAGATTTCAGAAAGTGGAAATCCAGATAGATGAGAAAACTATGGTAACTTGGTTGCAGGGAAAAACTATCTCTGTTTCAGATGTAAGCGCCATAGTTGACGACATCTTTTTGGTAAAACTAGATTTTGAATGTTGTAAATTTGTATTCATTAAAAAACAGTGAAATTCTAGTAGCCACAATCTAGCCAAATTAGTCGTGTCTAACAATTGTACACAAAGTTGGGATCTAAGAGCCCCATTGTGGTGAGACTTGTCGTTTAAGGCGGATTGTAATACCTCGGTGTAATTAGCTCATCTTTTTTTTTTGGGATATTTTCTCTATATATGATTATCGTTTCAGACAAAAAAAAAAAAAACACATGTTTCCGCGGAGCGTTTCTATGCACATGTTTAATATATTTCTTAATGGTAAAACTAATTAAATTTATAGCTTTGTGTCATGCGATGATACTTATTGTATATTTTGTCTTTATTCCATTTTTAACTTAACTAGTTTACAAACAATTCAAAGTTGCAAATAAATTTGTTAAACGGTAGCATATCACATATTTTAGAATATCATTTAAATTGTATTTTCACACCGACCGTATGCACTTATACTTGAAAGATATATAATATTAATATCTTGAAAACAATATTTAAAAATCACGCGTAACACGCGGGTGTAATTCAAATAAAAAAATAAAAAATAAAAACCAATTTCATGTTAAAGAAAACCGACAACCATGCTACCCTTTTTGCCCTTCCAAAACGAACATTCCAGAAAAATGCTACCCTTTAAAGATTCACCATAATTTTGTTGTCTCGCCTGCCAGCCCAGATGTTCAAAGCTTATTTTCACCTTCGCACGCAAAAGCATATTCACAGATTTCTTAAAACTTAATCGTAGGACGAATGTAATAATGGCTAGAATTCGTATTGTTTTTAGCTTTGGAATATGATGTGATGTTTCATTGTGGCCATTGTGCATTTTCTAATCATGGTTAGAGAAAAATGTAGAATTTCTTACTTTTTATTTGGTTTAAAATTGGAAATCGATTTGATATATTGGAAATTTTGTGATGAAGAAAATCCAAGTTTATGGGTGACATCTCACTGAATCCTAAACGCATCTCATTGAAACTGTAGAAATTCCTCATACTTCGCGTCTAAAAATAAAAACCACGTCATGAAAAACCAATTCACTGATAAATATTGATTTCCGTAGTAATGTGATTAAGTGTAACCATTAATTAGGTCTTTTTTTTTTCCTTTCTATTTGTTTAGTTTGTTGGTTTTATTTTAGTTGTTGGTGCTTTGATTGTAAATTTTTTTAATAGTTATATATTTTATGTCCCTTCATGAGCAATATTAATAAATGCTTGTTGTTGATTACGTTGTGTAAATAATACAAAAGAGAAAAATTAAAATAATAATAATAATACTATTTACACAATGTAGAAGAAAAAAATTTTATCTGCATAAATATATATATATATATATATATCAAAAAGAAACCTGGATGATAGTAAAAAATAAAATAATTGTTATAATTTTTTCCAAGAATTGAAATCATCTTAAAGAGAAGTAATCAAATTTAGAGAAAAAAAAGTGAAGACTATGCAACTTAGAAAAAAAAGGAAGTAAACATTGTATTACATGAAAATATACCAACAAATTTTCAAAGAAAGGTTGCAAAAGTTATATAGAGAAATGAAATATAAAAATAAGTTTATGTGAAGAAATAATGAGAAATGTTAGAGGGAGAGCTTAAAACGTATGACACGAGTAGAAATAATTAGAGATATCATTATGAAAATTAAGAAAATATATTTAAAAAATATAAAGTCATAAATCAACAAAATGGAAAATATGGACAACAAGTTACATTAGATGATTTCAAATATTAAAAATTATTGTAAATGTAGTTAAAATAACAAAACATATTGATATTAAAAATTTCACAATTTCAATTTGTGGTGGGTGACTCATGCGTTTCACGGAATTATGAAAGTAATACTCCCTCCATTCCAAAAAAAAAATCCATATTGAGTTTAGAGTTTTGTACTGTTTTTAGTACAAATTTGAAAACTCAATGTAGACTATATAGGACAAAGGTAGTATATATGAAAAACTTGTTTTGTAAGATAAAAATCAATGGTTCGGTTTATCAAACAAAAAATCACAGTTCGTCAAATATCAAAAATAATTTGGTAATCACCTTAAAAAATGCACATAACTTACACTATAAATGCTGTGCAAAAATAATGATAATTAACTTAAAATTTTATTACTCAGAAAGGCTCTGCATCATCCCCTACAACAAGGAATTACTCAAAAAGTTAGTGTGGGTAAAATTGTGTCATTTCTTCCAAATTCTAATATGAGTAAATTACTCACTGTCCGATAGATCGGAGGGCATATGAGCACTCTGCATCGAAAATTCGTTGATATAAAAAATTGTAGCATGGAAGGATTTGTCACTAATAAAAGATAGCATGACATGAAACCCAATATCAAGATATTAGTATGATAAAATGTCTTCCTCTTGAAAGGCCCAAATATAAGCCCACATGTGGTTCCACCTCAAAACCAATTGGTAATGAGGGGAGTAACACATGGGGTATATATGTTGAGTTCAAGAGTCTTCATCCATCCATGTGGGACAATGGAACATGAGGTCATATTTTTTCTTTCATTCATTTAACACGCCCCTCTCAAGCCTAGTGGGCTTGGACGGGTAATTTTATATTTTTTTTTTGATTTTTTTTTCAGTTCTGCGATCGGTTATTTTTCCGGATAAACCGTCGCCTGCCGGGTCAGTCAAAGTTCAAAGTCAAATCCCAAATTTCTTCCGTGGGTTGACCAAAGTTTCAAGACCCAATCTGGGTCAGTCCACCTCGCCCCACATGTCCCACAGGTCCGCGGATTAAAACCCGCTCTGATACCATCTTGAAAGGCCCAAATATAAGCCCACATGTGGTTCCACCTCAAAACCAATTGATAATGAGAGGAGTAACACATGGGGTATATATGTTGAGTTCAAGAGTCTTCATCCATCCATGTGGGACAATGGAACATGAGGTCATTTTTTTCTTTCATTCATTTAACACTTCCATTCTGTTTCACAGAAACTAACAATTTCACCTTGATTTTTGGATAGCTGAAAGTGCCATGTCCCTTCACCATCATCCACAAAACACGATCTTGAGGCAATGTAAAGGAAAACAAAGACCAGAAAGTAAGCCACATCATCTACATTCATAAAATTGAATATCATTAGCATAACCTATTTATCTCAGGATTATCGTATTGGTCTTAAACTTATTGGTACTAAACTTACAGCATTATCGGGCAGTTGACAATCTCGAGGCGATATCGCACTCCTCCAAGTAAAATAGGTTGATGGAGAACATCAAAATTCTGATACCCTCTTCGACAATAAACGATGAATTTCATGATATACTCTTCAACAACTACGATGTGAACTTTTATACTGTGAATGAAATTGATGTTACGAATAAATTTCAAAAATCTGTCACCATAAAACTGTCCTCGGTCTTTACGGGTGATACGAAATTTAACATATAAATCTCCAAAAATCAGTGCGCAGATAGACATAACCTCGTGGATTTCCTCTAAATAACTATGGAAGACGACTCGAAAGCGTTTGGGAAAAAAAATCATAAATAAGTGATTCTTCAATCTAGTGTAACAATAAAAAATAATAAAAAAAACTATGACCAAGATTATTACTAAACCATTGAGATTGCCTGCATTGAACATAAACCCGTATTGAATAAAAAAAATATGTGTGAAAGTATACTGTTGAATAAAAAAAATTCTAAGAAAGAAACAAAAGTGTCAAGGGAAAATGAAACAGAGAGACATGCCTGATTGTTTTAAACTGTTTACTGTCATGGAGTTTAAATAGAACAATATTTAACAAATAACGTATAAAATTCAGGATAGGAGTAATTTAGAATAACTTAAACACTATTTGAGTTTTCATTTTCAGATTAGTTATTTTAAAAGGTTGTTGCAGAGAGTTAAAATAAAATTATCTTTTACAGTTAAAATGCATTATAATCACGGTTAAATCTATTTTTTTTACTTCCAACTTAATTGAGTTTCAAATTTGAGGCCAAGTCAGCTATTTTCATCATGTATTAATATATATATATATATATATATATTAATATTATGTTTTTACATACATCGCTCCGTCGGAAATCTCATGTAATTTTAAATCATTAATTTCATATATATCTTGAACAACCCGCACAACGTGCGGATAAACACTAATCTATATATATTATATATTATATCTCTAATATATTAAAGGAGAGTTTTCAATCGGACACATGGAGCGATATTAGATAGGCTAATCCACGTGGCAAAATTAGAGAGCCAAGTCCATATGTTGTAACCACATCACTCCATCATTTAATGGTAATTTTTTTAACGGTAAAACCGTAAATTTAAAAATAAAACTAAATTAACAAAAAATATAAAAAGGAAAAAAAGGTAAAATTAACAACAACAAAATCCTTATTGATTAACAATTAGTTATCCCTTTACACTTCATGAAAGCAATAAACACTTAGAACACGTGTCAGCTTCACAGAATTTTTTTTCCCGCCTAAACCAAAAAACTCAAGGATTTTCTCAAAAAATATGCCACGTGGCAAGTGGTGCTATCACCCGGGAAGGTAAAAAAAAAAATATAGTCCAGATAAATCTCCCCTTTAAACTGTCTCCAAAAATACGGACTCCAAAATCCTCCCCAATATAAGGGATAAATATACAATTCCCGTCATCTCCCATTTAAACTGTTTCCAAAAAAACAGTCCCCAAAAAATTAAATCCTTCACATCATAATAATCACGTTATAATAACTCCTCCCCAGTATAAGGGATATATACAACAGAGGTAATCTTCCCTTTAAACTGTTATTACAAATAGGAGTTTAAATTTTAAAAAAGAAACTACAATTATTCAGAAGATTATGCGAATTATCTCCCCCTGATTCAAAGCCCTCCCAATTATTTCTGCCGGTTTCAAAGCCCTACAAAAGATCACAAATTTTTACAGTTAGCATCTCCAAGCATTAACGAATAAAGCCATGTTGGTGTCCAGATTCGTTTTTACTGTGTTTACAAATCAGTAAAACTCAGACCATAAATCAATCAACATTTATTCTCAAGATCATAAATCAAATTTCACCTAAAATTATGCATATATATCCATGTATCCTGATCATCATACAACCATGATAAACCGGGAATTCATGTAACCAAAATTGTGCATATCCGATGATCATATTTTGGAAAATATGCCATATTTAATAGCCATCAACTGTTATCAACCAACCATGTTTATCAAGGCTATGAAATACACCTATATAAATATGTTTATAGAGCAAGAGTTATAGCCACCAGTCAACCAGCATCAAATAACGCTGAATCACCTCTTTCTTGACTATGGCACCTATTCTTCTCTTCATCACCTTTCAATGGCTGCTGCTCAGAGGTATATTGCAGACATTAACGGCTTGATAAGCACCAAAATTCCACACTTCAGAATCGTAGTTCATGTCATGTCAATCTGGAAGATGTACATGAAGGCAGATCAGAAAGAAATAAAGTCACTTGAACTCATATTCATTGATGCTCAAGTATAACACATTGCAATCTTTTTGGATATTAAATTTTTTATGAAATTTATAGAAACCAACTACATCACTGTATACTAATCTGTTTTCCGAATATAGGGTGGGAAAATCCAGGCTACCATCCCTAAAAGCTTTATGGACAGCTTTATCAACTACTTCGCAGAAGGCTGCCTTCGGCAAATAGCATGTTTTGATCATGCTTTAAACATTGTTGGTGGTTACCGTTGTTCAAAACATGAATACAAAATCGTCTTTGAACCTAACACTATTGTGGATACTGTGGATGATGTTGTTGATTCGGATAATCCTAACCATGTGTTTGAATTCACTCCATTTGCTGAAATATCAAATTTCATTGCGAATTAAGATTTTTGTTTTGGTATATATTTTATATCCTTATATTATTACAATTTATGTTTTGATTTCATAAAATATAACAACCTTACTAAATCTTTTGTTTAATCTAAATGTTATTGGACATGTTATTGGTGTTAGTGAGGCGATCATTGATGGGGATAAGAAGAGGATATCTGTGGAGCTTGAGGATGAAAGGTATATTCTTATATCTATATTTAAAATATGATTATTATAGATATCCAAACAGTAATAGAATAAGTTTGAACAATCATGAAATTTTACACAGGGCTGATAGGTTAAAGATCACCCTGTAGAATGAAAATGCTGATGCCATATCAGCAATGATGGCTGATCATCCAGTAATGCCGGTGGTGCTTATTGTGCAATATGTGAAATGCAAAAAGTGGAACTGTGAGTCATTTCATTAGCATCTAACTTAAACTTTCCATTTATTTAAATACACTGTTACCAACTTCAATATTTCTTTGTCTTTTAAATCTTAACAGCAAGAGCTTCAGTCACCACTAATATGTACAATGGTAGAATCTTCCTAAATGACATGTCTATGTCTGCAATTTCTGAATACAAAATGAGGTTCTGTTACATAAATGTGTCTGTATACTATCTTTTGGCCAATCATATTCTACCTATTTTTCCAATTTCATGATATTATTCGTATTTCACAGATTGGAGGATATTGAGGATAAAGATGCAAGTGTCCAGCAGATTTCTATACTTTCTAACATATCTGGATACAATACTTATGAAGACTTTGTGAAGGATGCATCAATGTTAACTCTGTCTGAGATAAAGGAGTTAGAGGAGGTAATGACATATTCAGAAACTTTTCTTCAAAATCTTATGTCTATGTTGTAAGAATCTAACTACTAAGTTCATCTGAATTCAATCAACCTTGCTATGTGGTTACTTTTGCTAAAATTACTGGATTGGTGAAGGAGTTTGATTGGTGCTATAGGATGTAGAGACTGCAACAAGAAGGTCACAGCAATAGGTAAAGACACTGATACCAGGTTCGTAGGATTGCCTAAAAGTAATCAACGTGGGAAGGGGAAAAAGGGCACCAGTGAAATCAATGGTGAAGGTATCAAAAAGTTTCTATGCAGCAAACATGGTCCTGTTTCTGCTGTTACTCAAAAGTAAGATCATTATCATCACATAAAAATGACCAATTCAGTACCTGGATATTCCAAAAATTATATTTCACTTAATCACTATCTAATATTATTTTGGTTAATCCATGGACAGGTTCAAAATACAGGCAATTGTTGTTGATGGATCGGGCAGTGGTATAGTAACCTTATGGGACAGACAAGTTTACAATTTAATTAACAAGAATGCATCTGAACTCCTTGAAGAGGTATCAATCTATATTTTTACTTGCACGATTAATATTCATTATCAATAGATTCTGATTGAAAAACCCACAATAGGAACCAGGAGTTTATTATCTAAATAAGCTAGAAGAACTTAAAGGAAAAAAAGTGTTTGTTCAAGCTTGATGTTTCACAGTTTAATATAAGGAACAGGGACAGTAAAATGTCAGTTGCTAGGGTTACTACAGATGCTGCAATTATAAAACAGTACCTACAAGCTGTAGCTGAAGATCTGGTAATTATCATTACATCTTCACTTTTGTAGGAATTAATTTTATTTACCAACAAAATAACAAATATGCAAATTGTATAATGTCTCACATATCACATGTACTCCATTTATGCTTTAATAATGCAGGAAATAGATGTAGAAACCAGTATTGAATTTGGCCTCAATATGACCCAAACAGATGATAGTACTGCAAAGGTTATCCGTAAACAATTTCCATACATTATGGACTACTGATTATAAAATATACTGGCAGATATCTGAAACATTCATTTTCTTACCTGTATTTTTTTGCAGACTGTTGTATCATGTACTGGTGATATTAATATCCAGAATGCTGATGTTGGAAATCCTCTGGAAGATACTGCTGATAGTCCCCCACCAAAGAAGTCTAAATCTACTCAGGATCCTGAGAGTGTCAAATCCCACCAGAATAAATGCGTCAGGAAAATCTGAAGAATATTCCTGAGTTCTTGATCTTATTTTCATTTGAATTTAAATTTCCAAATCAAAACTGAACTACATCATATGTGTGATGTTGTTGTCTACAGCCAGAACTCCCCTTTCATGGATTTTAACATATTTAATAATTTATAAGCACCATGTTTAGTGCTTTATAATCTCAGTCATCTTTTGCCTTATGCAATACAAGGATTGGTGTTTACTGTTAAGCACTTTAGATTCTTAGATAGATTACATGGGTGTTTTTTGCTTTGATTTTACAGAATGTTCAATGTCAAGTTCATTCCATTAGGCTAAAAATTTGAAAACAAAGAATATTTTGTAACTTTCATGAAAGAAATAAACACTTTATCTGCAATATAACATTAAATTTTCATTGTCTTCATTTCAAAGTTTTGAAAACTCAGTCATATATATCTATTGTGAAGCAAAAATAATTAAACCTGCAAATATGTAATCATTGATAAAGTTTACTTTAATATAATTCACCATCAGACAAAGGAATGTTGTAAATTCCATGAAAAAACTTTTAAACTGAAAAAAAAACGTCTTAATCTTATCAGTGTGAATAAAAAATATAATCTTATCAACAGAACTGTCACTAAATACGTTATAATTGAGGGTTATCCCTGTAAATCAGGAGTAACCATATTTATATTCCCAATAATATATTAGGGGCTTTAATATCACTGTTAAAAATACAATAAGCCACCCCTTTACAAATTCCTTCTGCAACTTACATCCACAGTTCTGAACAAAATCCGACAGGCAACAAGCAACAATGTCAAACAAGTGTTTTGTGAAGGTGGAACTAGGGTTTGCCTACTTCCAGGTAATATTTAAGTTCTGATAATAGGTTATAAAGCACCATCAGTTTGTATTTCTGATACCAGATCTGTAATAAACTTTTGTGGTTGTTATCATCAATTAACATATGATGTAGGAAATTCCTTCGCCTTCAACTTTGCTCATTCAAGATGAAGATAGATCAAAAGAAATTTTATTGATCAGTAACAATAACGAGTACAAAGTCAGTGGCTTCATTAATAAAGACTGGACACACGTGAGGATTGGTGGTAACAATTGGTATGAATTTGTGAAGGCTCACAAATTAGTTCTCAATCAGGTACTCTACTTTATTGTGAGGGAATTAGGGATTATGAATGTTTTTGTGTTTGATAAAAATAATGTTCTCAGCAACAGTCCAACACCAAATATGACATGGAATCACATCAACAACATCAAAGTTCAAATGGTATGTTGTTTGTAATTTTTTTGCATCTTGACAGATATGAAAAGGTAACTTGCTGTTTCAGTTTTGTTCAATTTGGTCACACAGGTTCTACCGGTTGGATTAAGTAGTTGTATTATAGAAGATCATGCAGATAACTTTGGTTATTTTTCAAACTGGTCGATTGTCTGTGGGGAGCGTACATATATCAATCAAATAGCATATTCTCCTCATGAGAATCCTGCAAGATTGGTTGTAATTGGTTATCAATGGGATAAACTTTTAAAAGACCACGCCAACATGGTACAACATTCTGAATTTGTTGTTTTCACATATACAGGAAAAATATGATTAATTATGCATTTTTTCAGTAAAGAAGGATTTGAACAAACGCCTACTATTACTGACACAGAAGATGACTGCTTCGAGATTCCCATAGGAGATAACCACTGCCAGCATAAAGCCATTGTAATCCCTTTTATACTTTTTACTTTCTATCAGCTTAATCATATTTACTTTACTTATCTTTTTCCCAATTTTTTTTTTTACAGACTGTTCCATCTGAATTCTGGAGACGACATAGGAGTATCCTTACTAAAAACTTGGCTGTCATATACACTAATGCAATAATGTATAATATGGAGTTCCATAAATCATACAATCCACTGCATTATGGTAAAAAGGTTTCCCAGTTGAAGATTGTCGGGAATTGGAACACACTGATGCTTGATAATCAGTTTCCAAAAAGAAGTGTTCGTAAATTTATGCTGGATGTCAAAAGTGTACACCCCAGAAAGAATTATGTAACTTTTTCTATTTCAGAGATTTCCTAGATCTATCTTCATCATGATTGTTTGAATTGTTTCAAAATATTGAAAGTTTTTTTAAATGTCTGGTGACAACTAAATAACTTTTGCTTATGATATATGTGATTTCTTCATGAAATTATTTTATTCTTTTGGTTGGTAACGTTATTTGATGGAGGAATGTTTTACTATGACTGCAACTGATTTGTAATTATTTATGTTAATACAGATAAGATAAGACTCTATTAAAATAAATACTTTTACAGTCTTAAAAATATTTAATAGAAATAGTTTCCTTAAAAAGAAGATTATGATAAAATCAGATAACAACTAAAATATCACAAAAGAAAATCATCTAATCATTTAAATCAGATTCCTTGAACATGTAAAAGCTAAAACACGATCAATACTTTAAAACATGGGATAAATACCATATGTTACCAGTTCAATAACATCTAAATATACATTGACACATTCACAGAAGTTTAACAATTCAACAATGGTGAACATGTCAGCAAAGGCTACCAGAAAAAACCGATCACAAATTTTACAAGCAAAAAGAAAGAAGATTCAAGCCAAAACAGCCAGAAAGAATCGAATACAAATCATAAACAATCAAAGGAGAAAGGTGATTTACAGGTTTATTATGCATGGTTTCTTCAAACAGATTTTAAGCAATAGCCTGAATCTTACTCCAAAGGATTGTCGATGGTTCAGACGTCAACTTTTGAACAATAAAAAAGGCAAAATTGTTAACGGACGACATTCCCGCATGCTTACACACCACAATCATTATCCGTTTTTCATGCCAAATGTGAACCAACAATCAGTTTCAATTTCTTCTGTATTTTGAAAAGGTACGTAATTTGGCATTACTGTTAATAAGTTTTTGTGAAGTGTGGATCGCATATGTTTATATTTTATTTATGTGTACAGATTCAACTTCATTTGGGATTTCTACCTCTAAGAATCCCAGAATGAAAAGAAAGGAATTGTTGGATAAAAAAAAGGGAAGATTGTTCAAACAAAGCCATGCATTCGAATGGGTGGTTTCAACATATATAATACAGATACTTCAATTTCAAAAACTCATAATAATTAATCATTGCAAAGGCACAGTTATAACTGTAGGTGCTTTATTATTATTAGTCATTATCCATTTTATATAAGTTATTATTACTGTTATGATGAAAATATTTAAACATAAGTACCAACAACAAAACAAATTTCTCCACAAATTAAAAACTGATAATAATAATTCAATTTTCATGAATTCATACATTATGAGATATAGTCACGTGGGACATACCTCTGATTTTGTAACATTCATGTACTATGGTCTCCTTACACACCAACATCAGATACCAATCCAAAAGGTTTGAAGCGCAAGTGCCAACAAACTGGAATAAATTTGAAGAAGACTGCATTGCATCCTAGCAAGTACAAAGTCAAACAAAATGAGGTTAATATAATCAACACAGGTATTTTATATTTACATCGCAGTTTTTTTATATTTTTAAACACAGTAAAATAGTATTTTAAACAAAAAATGTTCATGCAGCTTATGATGATCTTGGTGATCCAGATTATGTATGTAGATTCTGTGGAGCTAACATGTGGTATGCTGAGAGGACTGAAAAAAGAAGGAGACCAGCAAACCCCACATTTTCAATATGTTGCAGGAGAGGCAAAATCCATCTACCTTTACTGAAGGAACCACCTTCAAAATTAAAGGAGTTGTTTATGTCTAATGACATCAAAAGCAGACACTTTTTAGATAACATACGAGCCTACAATAATATGTTTGCATTCACGTCCATGGGAGGAAAAATTGTTAGCACCATAAACAATGGACGTGCTCCATTTGTTTTCAAAATGCAGGGACACAACAGTCATTTGATGGGTAGTCTTCTCCCACAAGTTGATTCAATTCCTAAGTTCTCTCAGTTGTATATTTATGACACTCAGAATGAAGTCAATAACAGAATAGGTGCTCTGAGGTACAACTCTTACTATATATGAAGAAATGATTTTCCAAGTAAATGTAATTCCAAATGTTTCATATATATATATATAGTTATAACGCCTTATTTATCTATATTTATGTTATAAACTGTAGTTCTGGTCAGAGTGGAGACAGTTTCAGCACACTAGATGCACAAATTGTTATTGACATAAAGGAAACATTAGATGAATACAATGTCCTAGCACAGACTTACAGAAAGGTACGTGACACAGTTCAGGTGGACTCTTCAACAGAAATAAAGCTTAAGCTTATTCGTGCTAGGAAAATGGATGCAAGAAGATACAACATTCCAACAGTTGATGAGGTAGCAGCTATAATTCCAGGAGATGAGGACAATGAATTTGAGACAAGAGACATTATTGTTCAATATAAGTCTGGAGAATTGCTGAGAATAAACGAGTTGCACCCTTCATACCTTCCACTTCAGTACCCAATCATTTTTCCGTATGGTGAAGACGGATTCAGAATCAATATAAAACTAGGAAATCCAGACACTGATTCTGATGATGATGATTATCAAAGTGATGATGATGATGAAGAGGAAAATCAAAATGAAGAAGAAGAGTACAAGAGTCCCCATAAATGGATAAGTATGAGAGAGTGGTTGGCTTTCCGTATTATGGAAAGGAATGATGATGGTAGCATGCTATTGTTTTCATGGAGGTGTTTCCAATAGTTTTTAGTTGATGGTTACAGTGCAGTTGAAGCTGGTCGTATCTTTTTTGTGAAGAGAAATCAGAAAAAACTACGATGTGAAACATATAAAAACATCAGAAGATCTCTAGACACAGGCAACAATGAAGCATCAAACATTGGTCAGAGGATTTTACTGCCATCCTCTTTCACTGGAGGCGACAGATGGAAACGAGAGAACTATATTGATGCAATGACAATAGTGAAGATTTTCGGCTACCCAGACGTGTTCCTAACATTTACATGCAACAAAAAGTGGCCTGAAATTGTTAGGTACTGTAAAACAAGGGGATTGAAGCCTGAAGATAGGCCTGATATTGTTTCAAGGGTTTTTAACATGAAACTAGAAAGACTGATGAAGGACATTAAAGATAAGCGTGTATTTGGTCGTGTAGAAGCAGGTAAACATATTATTCCCAATGATTTGTACTTTTACATCATAAGTTCAGGCATTGAAATTCTAAATTGCATAACAGATTACTAACCGTTTCTTAAATTTCATTGGTGCAGGTGTTTACACTATTGAGTACCAGAAAAGAAGTCTCCCACACGCAAACATATTTGTGTGGCTACATCGGGATGATAAAATAACAAATGCAGAAGATATGAATAAATATATAAGTGCGGAACTACCCGACAAAGATGATGACCCAGTCCTATATCAGATTGTAACTGATTTGATGATCCATGGACCTTGCGGTGATGATTTCCCTCACAGTCCATGTATGGTGGATGGAAAATGTTCTAAGAGATTTCCCAAAAAATTTAAAAATTTTACAAGCATATGTGAAGATGGATTTCCTGATTATATGAGACGTGATGATGACAGATCTTTTGAAAAAAATGGTTCAACATTTGACAACAGATGGGTAGTTGGCTACAACTGGTACTTGACTCTTAGATACCATGCACATATAAATGTCGAATGGTGTAATCAAGTTGGGGCTATAAAGTATTTATTCAAATACTTGAATAAAGGATCTGATCGTGTTTCTTTTAAATATACGAGAAATGGGGAGCCAATCAGAGAAGAATATGATAATGGTCCAAAAGATGAAGTCAGAGATTAGTATGAGGGTAGGTATCTATCTGGTTGTGAAGCTGCATGGAGAATGCTTAATTTTAAGCTTCATTACAGATCACATTCTGTAGAGTGCTTAAGTTTTCATATGACTGGCCAACAGAGTATAGTTTATGATGAGGATCAGACTGTTGAAGATGTCGCTGTGAAAGCTTCAACCAAACAGTCGAAATTTTTGGGCTGGATGGAGGCTAACACATTGTATCCTGAAGCAAGAAACCTTACTTATATAAATTTTCCATCCAAGTTCGTATGGAAGAAAAAAGAAAAAGTTTGGGTCCTAAGGAAAAAAGGATCAAGTATTGGCAGGATACATGGAGTCCCTGTAGCTTCAGGTGAACCTTTTTACATGAGAGTTCTTCTTAATGTAGTCAAAGGTCCAACATGCTATGAGGACATAAGAACTGTGGAAGGTATTGAGTACTCAACATTCAAGGAAGCTTGCTTTGTAAGAGGTTTACTGGATGATGACAAAGAATATATTGATTGCATACAAGAAGCATCTACTTGGGGTACAGGTAACTATTGCAGGAATCTTTTTGCATCTCTACTGGAAGCTAATTACCTATCAAGTGCTGAAAACGTTTGGAAAGAGACATAGGAGTGTTTCACATGTGATATCCAAAACAAGCTCAGAATATTGTACAGGAAACCAGGTAATAAAAAATACTATTTGAATCTAATTTGTACACATAATACAGAATTTTTATTACATTACTTTTATTGAACATTCAAAATTATTTCATTCCAGATGACATTATTTCATATGCAGATTACATTGCATCTGAAGAAGAACAAAAAATTCATGCACTTAAAGAAATCGAGCTTATATTAAGGTCTCATGGTTCAAGCTTGAAAAATTTTAG